AGCTGATGACATGCGGGGGTGGGGGTGGCCTGGTGCTGAGTGACGCGATACAGACACGCCCCCACCTGACCTCAGCTACAGGCTCAGTCGGTTTCTATTCCTGGATCAGCCGCCCTGCGGGGAGTGAGCGGCGCGCCCCGGGTCATTCAGTGCGAAGATTAAAGCCGAACTCCGGGCGGAGACGCTTTCATTTCAGGAGAGACCTCTCACCCTGCACGAGGGGAGAGCGGCAGTGATTGGTCTTTATTACAGGAAGGGGCGGAGACAAGACCCTGCACGAGGAGAGAGTGGCAGTGAGCGGTCTTTATTACAGGAGGGGGCGGAGACAAGACCAGTCACCCTGCACAAGGACAGAGAGCGGCAGTGAGCGGTCTTTATTACAGGAGGGGGCGGAGACAAGACCAGTCACCCTGCACAAGGACAGAGAGCGGCAGTGAGCGGTCTTTATTACAGGAGGGGGCGGAGACAAGACCAGTCACCCTGCACAAGGAGAGAGAGCAGCAGTGACCGGTCTTGTATGAGGAGAATATTTCTGATCCCGGAGTTCAGCTTTAAGGGGGTGGAGTCAGAGTTTCGGGGGCTGGGGAGACGGATCAGGTCAGCCAAGTGTTTTCTTTGCTCTCAGTTACATTTTAACCAGCCGGTAACAGGACACGTATGAAGTGTGTCACCTGACCCAGATAATGGAAGACATCGTCTTGGAAAGGTGTCACGGTTCTTATTATTAAAGGAGAACTGCAAACAACGATGTGATACGTCTAATGCGCTACCTGTGTTTCCGTCCATCCAGTCCTGAGATTTACACAGCGCAGCCCTGCCTGGGGAGGCACCTGATCTATCCTGCTGCAGTTTCACTTACAGGTCCCTGTCCTTTGACTGGGCGGTGCCTGTAATAAAGACCGGTCACTGCTCCTCTCTCTGCTTGTGCAGGGTGACTGGTCTTGTCTCCGCCCCCTCCTGTAATAAAGACCGCTCACTGCTGCTCTCTCCTTGTGTTGGGTGACTGGTCTTGTCTCCGCCCCCTCCTGTAATAAAGACCGGTCACTGCTCCTCTCTCTGCTTGTGCAGGGTGACTGGTCTTGTCTCCGCCCCCTCCTGTAATAAAGACCGCTCACTGCCACTCTCTCCTCGTGCAGGGTCTTGTCTCCGCCCCTTCCTGTAATAAAGACCGGTCACTGCTGCTGTCTGACCATGTACAGGGTGACTGGTCTTGTCTCTGCCCCCTCCTGTATTAAAGACCGGTCACTGCTGCTCTCTCTCCTTGTGCAGGGTGACCGGTCTTGTCTCCGCCCCTTCCTGTAATAAAGACCGGTCACTGCCGCTCTCTCTACTTGTGCAGGGAGACTGGTCCTGTACTTTCCTGTAGTGGTCGGGGGATCATGCTGATAGGAGGAGAAAGCAGAGCCACAGAGAGGTGAGCTCCTCATTCTGTTGCTTCTCCTTTCACTGTCCAGTCACAGGGTGGGGGAGGGATGAGACCTGAACTGCAGCAGAGAAAAATCAGGACTTGGAGAGGGAGGAGCAGCACAAGGAGCCAATCAGGTGTTCTGCAGTGCAAGGAGCCAATCAGGTGTTCTGCAAGGAGCATGCTGATAGGAGGAGAGAGCAGAGCAGCAGGGAGATGAGCTCATCCGTCTGCTGCTTCTCTTTTCACTGTCCGGTACAGGCTGCTCCCCATCCAAATAACTGCTATTTGTAAATGATAGATTGTGTAGGGAGTGAGGAGGCCAACCCCCCCCAATGTTGTTGGTTGCTAGGACGCTGGCAGCTGCGAGGCTACCGATAGCACTTAGCTGCACGTTGTCATCGTTGCTAGGATGCTATTGGCCCCAGGGCAACCAGCATCCTAGCAACCAATTGTGCTCGAGCACACGTCATTGGTAAATAGGATACTGGCATCTCTGAGGCCCTGACGTCCTAGCAACCATTGACACTCGGCTGCACCTCGTCATTGGTTGCTAAGACACTGGTGGCCCCAAAGCAACTGGGGCCTAGCTACCAATCAGGCTCAGCCGCACATTGTCATTGGTTGCTAGGAGACCAGCAGCTCCCAGGCCCCAGCTTCCTAGCTACCAATCAGGCTCGGCTGCACGTCATTGGTTGCTAGGATACAGGTGGTCCCAAGGGAGCCAGTGTCCTAGCAACCAGTTGGGCTTGGCCGCACAAAGTCATTGGTTGCTAGGACACAGCAACTGTGCTGAACACCATCCCTCAGACAAGGTCCACCATGGTCATTATTATTAAGAAGCCGGTCCAGATCAACGCCGTGCAGCCATAGCTGGAGTGCATGGAGACAGGAAGTGGCTGCAAAGAGGCTGCAGGAGATCCGTAACCCTGAGACGCTAGAGAAGCATATGAAAGAAAAGGCAATTGTTTATAATACTCGGCGCTTCCGCAAGCTTATTGTGATCCAGCCAGAGGTCGTATCTACTGTTGACGTAAGCTACCGGCCAATACAGGGAGCCCATTGTGTCCAGTGAGCCATTCACCTCCCATGCAGCAGCAGAGCACAATGACTGCTAATGTAGCAGCACCAACATCGCCACTGTATACGTGAGAGCTCCTAGTACTGCTGTGCTGTATGACTAAGGAGAGCTGACTGAGGGTCCTCCATCTTCACTCCATCCGATCCAGACATGAGCAATGCCGGCCTTCATTACTGAAGTCTCTAGACCAGGGGTAGGCAAACCCCCCACCCCCAACAAGCTGTGGTGCAACTACAACTCCCATGAGGCATTGCAAGGCTCCGACAGCCACAGGCATGACTCCCACAGGCAGATGCACGATGGGCGTTGTAGTTCCACCACAGCTGGAGGGCCGGAGTGACCTCTGTCCTAGAGTAACAAATGGAAAGAAGCCGACCGAACAGAAGGGAGGGAGTAGACACCACGGGGGCCGAGAAGTGGGGTGTGGTTGGCAAATGAAGAAGCACAGCAGGGGGGGCCGGAATAGGGAGCGCAGGGGGGTGCCGGAATAGGGAGCGCAGGGGGGGCCGGAGTAGGGAGCGCAGGGGGGCAATTGGGATGAGTTGACATAAACAATCCTTGAGGTTAGAAGGACAGACTGGTATCGCTGTGGCCATTTCTGGCTTTATCAGCGGCTCAAATCCAGGGTAAGCTCAGGAGCACTTTCCATGACCTAGGAACCGCCCTGTTTAACCCTCCGGTGCCCAGATGTCATTGTGACCCAGGCGCTCAGGCCAAACTTAGCAGTGTTTGCCAACCTAACTACAAGAATACCCAAATCACATTTATGAGGACATAGCGGGTTATACATTTTATATATTTTTTAATACTATCATTGTTTCACACAATTACAGTATAAAACAGTCTCTCCTCCCCTCCTCTTTCCTCCTCCTCCTCCTCTCTCCTCCTTTCCTCCTCCCTCCTCTCTCCTTTCCTCCTCTCTCCTTTCCTCCTCTCTCCTTTCCTCCTCTCTCCTTTCCTCCTCTCTCCTTTCCTCCTCTCTCCTTTCCTCCTCTCTCCTTTCCTCCTCTCTCCTTTCCTCCTCTTCCTTCTCTCCTTTCCCCCTCCTCCTCCTTTCCTCCTCCTCCTTTCCTCCTTTTCCTCTCCTCCTTTCCTCCTCCTCCTTTCCTCCTCCTCTTCCTTTCCCCCTCCTCCTCTTTTCCTCCTTTTCCTCTCCTCCTTTCCTTCTCCTTCTCTCCTTTCCTCCTCCTCCTCCTTTCCTCCTCCTCTCCCCTCTCCTCCTCTCCTCTCCTAATTTCCTCCTCTTCCTTTCTCCTCCTTTCCCTCTCTCCTCCTCCCCTCTGCATCCAGTAACCCTCTCCTCCTTTTCTGAATCAAGCCTTCAGCTTGCATGTGATCACTCTGTCCCAGCGATGTCACCTAGTGATCACATGACCGGGAACGCGCTCTGATTGGTTCCCAGCCTTTCATGGGGACCGGAGCTGTCAGCGGCGACAACACAAAGTGTTGGCTGGTAGATGTCAATGGGAGAACCCTCAGCAAGGGGCACGGTGCCGGGGAAGGTTACTCTGCAGATGGAAGGGGCTCATCATGAGTAGTCCAGAATGCTGTCAGGTGGTCCTCTGTGTGTGTGTGTGCATGCATGCGTGTGCGTGTTATAGACTTTATTGTGCATATGTGTCCGTTGTGTGTGTCAAGGTCAAGAATGGGAACTGTTGTCTGGTAGGGATGAAACCGGTACTGCTTGTGTGTGTACTGGAGGTGGGT